AGAACAATGCTCTTTCCTGTGCATTTCTCTTCTTTTCCATTAAGAGTTTTAACTTATTTTGATTGCAGAGTCAAAACTAGATTTACCAAAAAAAAATGCTTTTCATAAAATTGCTTCTTCTGAAGAGCTGTTTATATTTCATACCTCCTATTTCGTAGGTTGCAAATTCAAAGATACGATGCGCCTGTTTTATTCTAGATTAAAGGTAAAACCAAATACTTTGAAGTGAAAAGAAAAAAAGCATTGAAAAAATTATCCCCAAACTATCTCGTTAGTAATCCTCACTCAGTGCAATTACAGTGTCTAAATCTATATTGTTCATTGTTTGCATCAAGATGCCCCAAATTCACCTTTTCAGTAATATAGCAAGCTTAAAATCATTCATTCAGTTATTTGAAATCTGTATATGTAACTAATATATGAATGTGAAATTCTCTGTAATTTACCATGGTCAACTAGACAAACATTTATAAACTACTATTTGTTCAATTAAACCTGGGTATGAAATGCTGACCACTTAAACATGAGTTCGCTGTCATCAGAAAAGCACTCACTCTCTGAAGCCAGCACGCGTTATAGCCTCTTTGGTGATTCTTAGATGCTTCTGTTGATCGGTTCTCGTTACGGAAGAATAATGGATTCTAACTGCAGCATCTCCATGGAAGGGTCACTAGGAGAATTCTAGAGGTTAAATTTATAGCAACTAGGGTACCAGCAGGTACCCCACTATTAACTGGGCTGTGAGTCCCTGAGGGTCTCAGGCTGTTTTCCTTCCATTTGTGCCCTGGTGCCTGGAAGAGAGCTGAGAACATAGATGGTGATGATGGTGATGATGATGGTGATGGTGGTGGTGGTGATGATGGTGGTGGTGGAGATGGAGATGATGATGATAAGATGATAATGATGAAGGTGATGACAACGACGGCGATGATCATGATGATGACTGAACTAGACTGAGGGACTGAGGACTGGGTTAGAAAGTAGAGGCCATGTTTATTTTCCCCTTGCTCTGAAATTTATTAATCTGACTGCTGATTGTGAGTAGTAACCTAATCTCATCACCAGGTTTTACCACCTTTAAAATAGACACGTCGCCGCCTTCAGTCTTTCTCACAGATGTTAAGAGAACTCAAGAATACTCCAGATACATCTTATTAGAAGTAAAACAGAAGGAAAGAGGCTGGGAGACGGCCCACACGCTGATGTGTGTCACCAGAGACACCACAGCAATGGTCGGGTGCCAGACACATTGCAGGTACTTCCGGGTCTTCCTAACCCAGCTGAAATAACGTCACTGCCAGTACAAGGGTTATGTTATCTAATGATGAAGAAGAAAACGGAGGCTCAGTGGGAGATCAGAGGCTTCCCAGATTTACAGTTAGCAAGTGGAACAACCACCACAACAGAGAATCTCCCAGTCTAGGAGGAGCATCATTAATCATGTAATCTTGCAAATATTTACCTGAACACTGATGAGTGCCATTACATAGATGTAGTATGTAATGCTGTTACATGTGTATATAGTCATAGAATAAACACAGATGATACACATCCATGTATATAGATCTCTTATGAGATATGCAATCAGAGATTAGAGAATGAGTGAGCTGACATTTAAGCTGATACCTGAAGCACAAGCATCCATTTATCCAAAGAAAAAGTCCTCTGTCCCCCTACAAATATTGCGCTTCGTTCTCCTGCAAGTTTGTGAAGGCAACAGAACGCCATCTGCTACCAGGGGCATCCCCTGGGCTGTTTTAACAGCTGGGACCCTGCAAGCATCTCGCCCAGGAACATTCTGTTTTCACTTCACGGGGCCACAAAGCATGAGGCTCTGACTAAGGGCCGGCAACTCGCTTCAAGACAGACCCGGTCAACAGTCCACCATGCGCGTCCCAGTCAAACAGATGAAGCCAGGCCTGAGGGCACCGCTGTTCTTATCGGCCCTGTTTGTGCTTCACTGCAGAAGCTATTTTGCAACTTTCCAGAGAAACCCTTCCTGCTTATTATCAGCAACTCTTCCTCATGAATGCGTTTTTCTTTTCAGATGGGACTAGAACAATATTACCGGACGTTATTTAAGCTTTTGACCTTTGTCAGCGCCTGATCCTTTGAACACTCAAATCCTTCTTATCATCAGAGTGAAAGCGTGATCTATAGTAAACAGGGTTATCGATGTCAAACTATCTTTTAGGAAAGGGAAAAACACACAACCCCATGTTACGCTTTGCACTAGCACAAGGGTCATGCACTCAGACACCCAGAGGCTGAGAGGGCAAGACAATGAAAAGTAAGTCCAGTAGGGGCTGGTGATTAGAGAGCTGTGTTCTATCTGAGGGGACAGTCAGGACTCATGTGCAAGCAAATTCTGTGCAGGAGTTGGTCCCATGGCACCAGGTCATCACGTTCTGTTTTGTTTTTAAGAGAAACCAGCAATCCCGACTCTTATATAATATTCCCATATTGTTAACATTGGCATTTCATTGGTTTTAACACATGCAGTTCTAATAGAACACACCCATGAGCTATGACTTGGGGACCTTGGTTCCTGCCTGAAGGACCTGAAATGTTAAGAGTTCAGTAAAACATTCATGGAGCCTCTTGTCTGTGCCAGGTACAGTGACAGGGACCAGAGACACTGAGACAAACACAGCACAGCACCTGCCTTTGCGGAGCTCGCTCGGGTCACACTGTGTGCGGGGTGTAAATGACAGTTATCTAGGAGGATAAAATGAAATTAACCCTATAATACCACACGTTTAATTCTAAACTGTGATGAGTGCTGTAAAAGTAAAAGATGCATAGCACAGTAAGAGACCGAGGCAGCGGTAAACTTACGCTGAGGTTGACGTCTGAAGGATGAGCACACATGTATCCAAAAGAAGAAAGGGAGGAAGAGCGCTCTGGGCAGAGGGAACAGTATCAGCAAAGGCCCTGAGGCAGATGGAGTTGGCCTGTCTGGGGAACTCAGAGGGGCCCAAGTGACTGATACCCAGGTCACCGGAGAACGAGTCCCACAGAAGGACAATGGAGAGAGGAGGAGGGGTGGAGCGTACCTGGACTTGTGGCCTGTGGTAGGAACTTTGGGAAATAAAAAGCCATCGTCAGGGTTTGGAGTAGGAACATGACTAAGATCTGGGGCTTTAAGGAACATTCTGTCTACACGGTGGGAACCGAAGCAAGGCTAACGAGCCAATAGTGGAGATAAAAAGGATAATAAAAAATATTCCATCAAGGAAAAAAAAAAGCTGGAAAGAAGAGAAGAAGCAACAAAGACCAAGTGGACAAATAGAAAATAACAGGAAGGTAGATTTAAACGCAACCATCTCAATAATTATATTAAATATATAATTTAATACAAATACAAATAGTAAAAATACAAATAAGAGATAGATTGTACAGTTAGATAAAAAGCCACACCCACTGTATGCTGAACTCAAGCAATCCCCTTTAAAGACAAGAGAAAAAATAAAGGACAGAAAAAGATATACCATACTCACACTTATTGGGTGAGCACAAGGGGGTGTCTAGTGTATTATTCCATTTTTATGACATTGTCAGAAAACAAGATGCAGAGACAGAAAGCAGATCAGCAGCCGTCCGGGCCCAGGGGGCAGGGGGAGGCACTGCCCACGATCGGCACAGGGGACAGAAGTTCTGGGGCAAGGGCAGCGTTCTGTGCCTTCGTTGTGACGGCAGCTGTGGGACAGTGAGCATTTTTCAAAGCTCAGCGCATATTATACTTAGAATTGGTGGATTTTATTACAAATAATTTGGAACTCAATAAAGACGGCAAAACAAAGAGAGGGGTAAAGAGAAGAAAAGGAACAGGGAAAGGGAAGGGGAAAATTAAGCATTTTTGTTTTAAAAAAAGCACAGTCACTTCAGTAAGAATGGTTTCCATGGGCGCTTCACCCTGTCATGTAAAGCACTTCAGTTATTTTTTAAAAAATCTTTCTTGCCTTGCCCACATCCACACTCTGACGGTCTCACCTTCCACCTCAAGGAGTTTATCAAACCTTGTGCCAAACGAAGAGACCTGCATCCCAGAGAGAGATTCTGGCACCAGCTGATGCCAGTGAAACTCTCACCCGCTCAGAGAGGAGTGTTGCAGACAGGAGAAGCTGCCCATCCCATAGGGCTGTCAACGGCGCTGACCTCTCCCCTTCCTGACCGCCCTTGCTCCATCTCTAGCCACATCTTCCGTTGGTTGTCGAAAGCATCCCCCAACCTTCTGCAATTCCTTTAATCCGCAGAATCTCAGTGGCCTCTCTCCAATGAGGAAGACCAATTTCTACAACACATCCTCCCCTCTGTCGCCGGCAGAGAAAGAGGAGTGTATGGAAGGGTCCGTGGTGGGACTGTGGGTGTAGGAAGCACGACATCTAAACTTCAGGGGGTGGGGGGGACTTTGCACAGCCTCGGGACAACTCAGCTGCCTGTAGGAGCTAGACTCTGGGGAAGGACCTGGGATGATGAGGCGGTGGGGATGTAATACAGGAACAAAACGGGGCTGAAGCTGGCAGTGATGGAAAGGGGACCTGGAAAACGTACACTTCAGAACAGAGCAGTACATAAGTGGGTCTGAGGATAGTTACATCCTGCGCCAATAGGCTGTTAAATATGAGGTTTTATCAAGCACCACAGAGAAAATACAACCCATGTTCAGATTCCGAGATGGTTCGCTGATCAAAGGTGATTCAATTCTCTGATTACATTTACATAATAACTACTTAGAGACCCTGGGAAGTTAACTGACTCAGCCTCCAATGAGGTACTAGTAACACGCCTTAATCACTTCAGATCACCATGGACTCAAGCCCTTATTATAATCACATAGACACACAAATGGATATAATGAGAGTCTTTCCAAATAATGAAGGTTCACTACAGAGAGGGTCAGGTATCTCTATGAGCTTTCCGGTTCTTTCGAATTTGAGGGTGATGACAAAACCGTCCTCACCAGCTGTCCAGTTGTGTTCATGACCTTTATCCTCCAGGTGCTTCCTACTCTGACCACACGTTTCCCGTGGAGAAGATGGATGATGCCGTAGCTCCAGGCCATGAATATACGTACGAGTGGACGATCGGCGAGGACAGCGGGCCCACCAGTGACGACCCACCTTGCCTCACATACATCTACTACTCCTATCAAAGTCTGATACAGGACTTCAACTCTGGGCTGATCGGCCCTCTGCTTATTTGTAAGAAAGGTAAAAAAAAATCAAAGGCATTGGAATGGGAAGGAGCACTGAGATGGAATGAGGCTTGGGAGAATCTTGGAACCTTGCAGGAAACCGGGCAGAGGGGGGAGGGTGTGGACACCAGAGGTTTTGGAAGCTCCTGCTGTGTTCCTCCCAGTTCCCCCTGCATCTCGGTCCTAGACCCTCACCCCAGTGAATTCCCGTCGGAGAATTTGCTCTGAGGCCAAGCCCGAGTGGTCTGTAATGTTTACCTCAAAGCCAAGTCCCCTTTTTCTTTTTTAAAGATTTATCTGTTTATTTTTAGAGAGAGGGAAAGGGAGAGAGAAAGGAAGAGATGGCAGAGAGAAACGTCGATTGGCTGTCTCTCACACGCCCCCTACTGGGGACCTGTCCCAAAACCCAGGCATGTGCCCTGACTGGGAATTGAACCAACGACCTTGTGGTCCAAGGGACAACCCCCAACCCACTGAGCCACACTGGTCAGGGCAAAGCCAGGTCTTTTTGACTTGTGCACAGCAGCCTGTACTCTGCTGATCACACTTGGAAAGAACTTGGACATACCTGAGCTTTGGTCTACAAACACACACAATGCCAGCTCACTCCTTTTCTAAAGGAGCCAACACACTCAGTCCGCTTTACACGAAACGTCGCTGGCTGGGCTTCCGAGCGGCGAGCCTGCATTTCCACTGTGCCCAGGAAGAATTCAGCTCACCTTTCGGCAAAACGAACAGCCAACCACACAAAGCCGCACCGTGGGGAATGATGTGAGGAGCTCACCCTCTGCATGTACACAAATTCCTAATGTGTGTGCTTGCTGCACAGATACATGTGTTCATTGCCTGGGGTCTAGAGGATACTGAGATGGCCCCACAGAAATTAAAACTGAGAAACAGCTCTTCTTTCCTTCTACTTTCAGCTGCATCTTTCCCTATGTTAGAATGGGTTCCTCCCGAACCTCTGCACCAGTGCCTGGCGCGCCATCCCTTGGACAAGCAGGATGGCTGGATTAAACTCGGAGGGCAATGTTTTTACCATCTGAGCTGTGCTGCCTTTGTAGTGGCCTGGCACAGGGGGGTGGGGGTGGGGAAGGGACACTTTTACTAAAGCCTTGACGGTCACCAAATGTCCTGTCTGTGCCAGATCACATTTACCTTTAAAGCCCCTTTCCTCAAGGCTGTGAGGTGCCGGAGAGCACACAAGATTTTCATAAGCCCCCCATTGTCATGACTGGATAAAGGTGCTGTTTTGGAAATAAGATCTTCCTCGAGTTGCCTTCACTGTGACGGGTTGCTTGCCTTAAATGCTTCTCTGTCCAGGAAGAAGAAATGAGGGGTTCTCTTTCCAGGATGCGACTGACAAGCACATTTTTCCTCTCCAGGCACCCTAAGTGAGGGCGGGGTTCAGAAGATGTTTGACAAGCAGCACGTACTGATGTTTGCTGTGTTTGATGAAAGCAAGAGCTGGAGCCGGTCATCGTCCGTCATGTACACGGTCAACGGCTACGTGAACGGGACCATGCCAGGTAATGAGTGGGCTGGGCACGGCCCCACAGTGTGGCAACAGCCAGTGCCTCTCCCTCTGCTGTTTTCCTCAAGGCCCTGGGAAGCTGACCATCCTCACTGTGTTCCAGCTCATACTCAGAAAGGCAATGTAGTCTAGCTCAGCGGGGCTCAAGACTTTATCTTTTTTTTTCTTGATCATCAAGGACAACAGACGAATTGGGAGCTGCCCAGGTGAAGGAGTGCACAGCCTTATCAGAGGCAGCGCTCCCGTCAGGCTTCACCTTGGCCTGCACCTCCTCCAGGATATCAGTCTCCTTCAGAGGGGTCTGTGGTCCCTGCTGCATGGTGACCATGCCTTCCTCCACAGAGGAAGCCTTTCGGGACTGAAGTTCAAGGTCAGCCCCTAGCAGAAAGGGTCAGCAGGAAGAGTTCAATGAAGGTGCTTACAGTAAAGATGAACAGGAGATTAGGAGAAATGTCCAACACACCAAAATACTACTAGCATTTCAGAAGGTGCTAGATGAGGAATACTCAAAGGCATATAGGATGTCTTCTCTTTCCATTTGCATGCGAATCAGAGCAACTGTTGTAGAAAAAAAACTGACTCTTACCTGAACCACTTTTAACTTCTATCTGGTAGGAATGCCTTAGAGCCAAAGATCCTGAGGAAAAAAGTGGAAAAATGAAAATATTACTTTATTAATTAAAGCACTCAAAACCGAAGTTTCTCAGGGGTCATTCTCTATGTCTGAAAAATCACAAATGGTCTCACTTATAAACAAAACGTGGCAAGAGTGGAGATCTGGACATTGCTTTTTAAAGGTTTTCCATCTCATCTGAGTGCGTCAGTCCTCCTGGGTTATTACAGACACATTCAGATCACTCTGGGCTTTGATCCAGAATTCCAAAACTTCACCGAAGTCTAACTTAGGAGATCTGAGTTCAGATTTAGCTTATTTCTCCACCTTAGTGTGGTCCTCGGCAGCCAGCTGTCTCCATGTGCTAACTTACAAAAATGGAGTAACTATCTATCGGCAGCCAGCTGTCTCCATGTGCTAACTTACAAAAATGGAGTAACTATCTATCTTGGGAGAGAGGGTGTTTGGGAATTTCTTTACATGTAAAGAAATTACGGAGTGTACAGGAGCATGGTCAAAAGGAAAACTATGTCTGTGTCCCGGCAGAGTGAATCATCTGTGTAAATATGCAGAAGCCCCCAAGAGCAAACCATATGCACAAAAACAAAAAATAATTTGGCCAGGGAATACAGTATATGAATTTGTAGTTGAAAAAGACAAGCTAGTTGGGGCTAAGAGGGTCAGGGGAGGGAAGTGGCATTCGTAGAAACTGAAATAAGTGAATGCTTGTAAAACAGCGTTACAGAGCTGTATAAATTGAGTAAATGTGGTCAGTGCGGATACAGATGTATTAAACGCTCAGGTCAACAGGAGCGTTTCTCTGGGATGATGAGATGCTTCCACCAAAGCCTCCTCCCCTTTCAGCTTCTGGTTTTCAGGTTTTAGCTTCTTGTTCTCACCGTGATACCAGAACCCCTGCCTTATTATAATGGCCCCCTAAAAAAGACAAGTCCCTCAGCTCCTCTACAGAGAAGAGACTGATCCTCAGCCCCATGGCCTGGTATCTAATGATTATGGATCTGAAACGTAAAGCCCAGGCCAACCATAGAAGCCAGGGTGGGGATCTCCCCCACAGCAAATGAGCATTTTCCTGGTTACCATGGCAGCAACACAATGAGCAAAATGCAGCTTTTGTGCTTGGCTCTCGTTATTCCATCCACATGATGCCCCCAGTGACCCAGCATAATGAGGACCTGTCCAGTACATTTTAGGGGGCGCCTGTAACCCACAGAATAATCCTATGCCTTGTCATTAAAACAACCAACAAGTGGGCACAGAAGCAGCACACAATCCTTAGGTCATTTTCACATCTCCTTCTTGAACCCGGCCCTACTGGAGGCCTTGGAGACTCCCCGCAGCCGAGCCCAGATTGGCTCTGCAGTGACCAGATGTCCAGGCTGGCCCAGGACTGTCCCAGATCTGACACTGAAAATCCTGCATCACTGAAACCTACTGGGTTCCCTTGGTGGCTTAACCCCTTAGCAGAAACTCCTGTTTCTGAACAGATGGCCCCTGCCTCTCTTTTTACCTCTATGGTCCCACTCACTGCAGTGAGCTGTGACTGCCTGTGGGCCCCTCACTCAGATGCCTGCTTTCTTGGGGCAGGAGCGACGACTGGAGTGTCTCTCCCTCAGAACCTTGCCATACCTGGCACATAGCAGGTACTCAGCACCTAGCTGGTGAGTGAGTCTCGGATCACAGAGTGCTGACTGCCTGTTTTGCCCCTCATCTCTCCCCCTCCCTCAGATATAACAGTCTGTGCCAATGACCAAGTCAGCTGGCATCTGATTGCAATGAGCTCCGGACCAGAGCTGTTCTCCATTCATTTCAACGGCCAGGTGCTAGAGCAGAACCGTCATAAGATCTCGGCCATGACGCTCGTCAGTGCTACGTCCACTACTGCGAACATGACTATGGGCCCCGGCGGAAAGTGGATCGTATCTTCTCTCACCCCTACTCATTTTCAAGGCAAGAGACTCTCCTGACAGCCTTGCTTATGAACATAGAGCCCTTTCTTCCCAGGCATTCACTCCCTCCGTATCCTTTGCTTCTGCAAGTTGCATGTGTGCATCGGGCCCTGAGAACAGAACATACATTCTCCACTCGTAGATGTATAGCCTTAGTTGGGGGTGGAGGAAGTGGAGATATTGACAAACATTTTTTAAAAAATGAAGCAAAACCTGAAGTGGTCTCTGCTTCCTTAAAAGGAAAAAGGAGGAAGGAAACAAATGTTTACATAGAGATACTCCTTCTCGGGGTATTTAATATGTAGCAAAAAAAAAAAAAAAGACCTGGAGGCTAGAACTAGACAATCATGAGCAAATTTATAGAAGCAGCAAGTTACAGGAAGTGTGAACAGGTGTACCATGAGAAGATTCTCTTTTCTAGCAAGGTGAGCACAGAGACTGGCACAAAGAGGAACCCGATGGATACATGTTGAATGGATCAAACATCAAATCTAAACAGCTGAGAAATGGGCTGTAAGGAATATCAGTGAATTCTACTGAGGAAAAAAAATCAGCCCAGGTTTTATTTGTGGTACCCCATAAATGAAAATAACTAATTGTTTTATTACATATTGTTGCTTTAAAACTAGTGGGAGGAGGGTTCCTGTTAACAGACATTAAAATGTAAGTAAATAACATTACTATAGGAAACTATAGGACGTATATAAGCAAAACACATGAGAGAGACTTCATGGGACCATTTTGCTTTCTTTTTGCGCTGCTCAGTCAAAATGGTATTTGAAGTAACATAATTGCCACAGTGTCCCTGGAAAATGGAACACACCAAGTCACAGTAAAACAACAACAAAGCTAACATCGTTGAGATGTAGTGCTTTTGGTACTAATTTATTTAATTTTTAACAACAATTTCATACAGCATGTACTTTTTAAAAATTATATTTTATTCATTATGCTAGTATAGTTGTCCCATTTCCCCCCTTTATTCCCCTCCACCCTGTGCACTCCCTTCCACCCACACCCTCCCCCTTTAGTCCATGTCCATGGTTCATATCTGTAAGTTTTTTGGCTTCTACATTTCCTATACTATTCTTACCCTCCCTCTGTCTATTTTCTACCTACCATCTATGCTACTTATTCTCTGTACCTTTTCCTCCTCTCTCCCCCTCCCACTTCCCTGTTGATAACCCTCCATGTGATCTCTTCATTTCTGTGGTTCTGTTCCTGTTCTCACTGTTTGCTTAGTTTGTTTTTTGTTTTTGTTTTTATTTTTTTAGGTTCAGTTATTAATGAGTTTGTTGTCATTTTACTGTTCATATTTTTTATCTTCTTTTTCTTAGATAAGCCCCTTTGACATTTCATATAATAAGAGCTTGGTGATGATGAACTCCTTAAATTTGACCTTATCTAAGAAGTACTTTATCTGCCCTTCCAATTCTAAATGAAAGCTTTGCTGGATAGAGTAATCTTGGATGTAGGTCCTTGTCTTTCATGACTTAAAATACTTCTTTCCAGTCCCTTCTTGCCTGCAAGGTTTCTTTTGAGAAGTCAGCTGACAATCTTATGTGTACTCTTTTGTAGGTAACTGTCTCCTTTTGTCTTGCTGCTTTTAATATTCTCTTCTTATCTTTAATCCTGGGTAATGTAATTATGATGTGCCTTGGTGTATTCCTTCTTGGGTCCACCTTCTTTGGGACTCTCTGAGCTTCCTGGACTTCCTGGAAGTCTATTTCCTTTGCCAGATTGGGGAAGTTCCCCTTTATTATTTGTTCAAGTAACTTTTCCACTTGTTGCTCTTCCTCTTCCCCTTCTGGTACCCTTATGATTCGGATGTTGGAATGTTTAAAGTTGTCCAGGAGATTCCGAAGCCTCTCCTCCTTTTTTAAATTTTTGTTTCTTCATTCTTTTTTGGTTGGATGTTTCTTCCTTCTGGTTCACACCACTGATTTGAGACCCAATTTCCTTCCCATCCCTATTGGTTCCCTACACATTTTTCTTTATTTCATTTAGTGTAACCTTCATTTTTTCATCTAATTTGTGACCATATTCAACCAATTCTGTGAGCATCCTGATCACCAGTGCTTTGAACTGTGTATCTGATAGGTTAGCTATCTCTTTTTCACTTAGTTGTATTTTTTGTGGTGCTTTGATCTGTTCTTTTGTTTGAGACTTTTTTTTTTGTCTTGACTCACTTGCCACATATGAGGGGCAGAGCCTTAGGTGTTCACCCGGCTGGGCAAACACATCACTGGGTTGTGACGCTATATGTGGGAGAGGGGTCCGAGAGGGAACAGTGGTGCTTGCTCTGCTCTCTGCCAGATTTCAGTCACTTCTCCCACTTTCCACAAGCGAACTGGGCCCTTCTGGTTCTGATTCCCATGTGGGTGGGTTTGTGTTTATTGTACAACCCTGTGGGTCTCTCCAACAAACTCTCCTGTGAGGCTGGGAGTCTTTCCCACTGCCACTTCAACCCCCATGGGTGTTTTCAGTTACAGGTTTGAGGCTTTATTTCTCCACGCTGGAACGCTGGGCTGTGCAGTCTGTCCTGCTCCCCAGTTGTTCCTCCCAGTTTATCTGCATGCAAATGTGGGACCGCCCAGTCTGCAATCCGCCACCTCACTGGTCCGCCCACTGCTGCCTTGCTAAGAGTCCTCTCTGCCCAGCTGCCCATCTCCACCCCTCCTACCAGTCTGGATGAATGTGTCTACTTTAACTCCTTGGTTGTCAGACTTCCATACAGTTCAATTTTCTGTCAGTTCTGGTTGTTTTTTGTTTTTAAATTAGTTGTTGTCCTTTTGGTTGTGCAAGGAGGCACAGTCTCCCTACGCCTCCCTCTCGCCTGGAAGTCTCCTACAGCATGTACTTTTGATTTTACAAATAAAGAGGCAGACGACAGGAACAGTAAGAAATCAACAAAACCTAAGTCAGAAGGTTTTAAGGGTCAGGAAATGACAAATGTTCCTGCTCTGGAGGAAGCAAAGGAAAGCTCTCCAAGCTCTCCCCCTAACCCATGCTGCCTTTCCCTTTCTTTTATTCTTGCCTCTTTCTCTGCTGCACTGAAAGAGCTCCAAACCAAAATGTCAAAAGTTGTCGAAGCATTACCTTCACTATTATTATTTAAACCTTCCACCATTTCAAAAGACACACATTTGGTCAGCCTTGGTTTCTTCTCTCATATTCTTCCACTGTCTCTATGCACTAACTCAGCTGGGATGCAGGCGTCCATAGACATCAAAAACTGTCCCAAGAAAACCAGGAGTTTTAAGATGCTAACACGTGAGCAGAGGCGGCACATGAAGAGGTGGGAATACTTCATCGCTGCGGAGGAAGTCATCTGGGACTATGCGCCTGTCATACCAGTGAACATGGACAAGTGAGTTTGGGGGCTTCTGACCACTGGGCAAAGGTCCAAGAATGTGTTCCGCAGGGTCCTAGGTGTGTGGGTGAAATGTCAGGAGTTGGCAGCTGTCAAGGGAACCCATGGTTTGGATTCCATTCGGGTCTTGTTCAAAGTCAATCTGAAATTACGCCAACTCACCAAGGGAAATGATGATGATGATGATGGCAGCTACTACTAGTTGAATGTTTACTGTTTCCAAGCACCATGTTAAATTCTTTCAAAGAGCTTCGCTGGAACTCTAGAAGCAAGAAACAGTTCTCATTTATTATGTAGATGAGGAAATAGGCCAGAGATGATTAAGAAATCTGGAAATTCAAAACATTTGGAAAACATTCAAGCTCACTCACTATGAGAGAAATGCAAATTGAGCTTCTCTGAAATGCCGGTTTCCACCCATCAGACTCACGGTCCAGGCAGCATGTCCCTTGACAAGGCTGTGAGGTGTAGGCACTACCAGGTATCGCTGGTGGGTGGGAACAGTGTGAGAGCCATTCTAGAGGAATGTGGCCTTTTGTATTAAAATGATAAATGCCTGTGCCCCTCGACCCTGTAGTGTCACCCTGGGAATGTACTAGAGAGGTTCTTGTTCACGGGGGAAATGACGTACCACGGGGCAGTCACCGAGACCAGAGACACCTCAGGTCTACTCCAGCAGCCAGAGTGACAGGAATTCTAAGTAGCTGCTTCTAACCGTGGCCGTGACTTTATCAGACAGAGGAGAGGTTTCCAGTTTTCCGATCAGAGGGGAGATACCAGGACTTTGCAAATCATATTAAGAATTTTTGTTCTTGTTTTGTTTTGTTTTTCCAGAAAACTAGCTTTTTAGCTAATCCGAGAACAGAACTTCTAAGCATCAGGGTTTTCCCATCTACCAGAGTCTCTAACTTGAGGAAATGGTGAATTTTTTAATATTTCATTTCACTTTAAGAAAATACAGGTCTCTGCATTTGGATAATTTCTCGAACCAAATTGGCAAACACTATAAGAAGGTTGTCTACAAGCAGTACCAAGACGAGTCCTTCACCAAACGCCTGGAGGAGGCTAACAACAAAGACAATGGGATCTTGGGCCCCGTTATCAGAGCCCAGGTCAGAGACACCCTCAAAGTAAGTGGCACAAACGTCGGACCATGTGGGGGAAATCAAATCGTACAAGACATCATAAGTGGTGGTGGTTTGTTTTTTTAAAAAAAGATATCCATATAATTTAAACTCAAGTGTAACTTTCAGTTTTTATTTAGTCTTTGCACTTATTTATAGCCTACCTGATAATAGAAAGAATATTTATTGCCTACCTGACAATACAAAGAATCTGAGACAGCTGATCAAAATTATTATAAAAGAATACACAAAGAGTGACTCTAATTGGGGTGAGTAATAAGGGGGTCCAAGAAAATAAAACCAAGGGCAAGGTAAGGATAACGAAACGTACACCCTACAATCTCACCAGGTTGTTCGTAAATTTTGTTCTGAGCTTTCCGAGCAGCCGGAGTGGACGGAAAACATGTCAGGGCCAGATTCCCAGTAGTTGTCGAAGCAGCGCAGGAACCAGGGAGGGATTCCTCCCATGGACCCTTGAAAAGAGGATGCTGTGTGAGGCAGTGGGTGGATTCCTCAGCATCATCCCTACAACCGGCACAACAAACCAAAAAAGTTGCAGAGCCTTGTAAGAACGTTTCTCATGAGAGCTGAGAACACCACAGGAAACACCACCGAGAGAAAACCTGTTCTTCACTGGGGTCCAGCTCGGTCGTCCTCTGGACACTGGTCTCAGACGGAAGTAAAATGAGATACGGGTCGTGCGCCCTGAGCACATCCTCCTGACAGTGTTCCTTTAACGGAGCTTCTGTGAGAACTGGGGAGCAGGGACTGGAAGGTTGCAATCTTGGGAACGATTCTAGAATGCAGATAATCTACAGACGGAGGGTGATCCAAGTGCTCTGGCAATCAACCACGTAGAAGAAGGTTAACGTTGCCTTCAGAAGGGGAAGGTGCCTAACCAGGACTCCTGGGTGAATACAGCCTCCCTCTGCCTCTGCAAGGGCTGAGTTAAGAGGACATCTGCAGAGCGGGCCAGTTCTGTTCATCTGAAAATAACAAAAGGACCAGAAGGCAGCCTTTCTCTGGTCCTCTGGCCCTCCCTTCATCCCTGATACCTTGTAGGTGCTGGTAGGGAGTGTAAATATGCCTCACTGGAAATTCAGGGTCTGGCTGTCTGCCATGCCCTTCTAGAAGCTGGCTTCTAGGAGATCTGGCCGGCTGGAGAAGCAGGGGGTTGTGATATAGAGAGAAGGAGGAGCAGATTCCAAGGCGGATGTGGTCTAAGCTGAAAGAAGAGGGGAAGGGGGATGGGGACCAGCTTGCAGAGGGTGGCATACTGCGAGGTAAATGTCACTTCCAAGGTCAGACTACCATGTGAGGTGAGACTCTCAAACGCTTCTGTCGGGTGAGGGCACAGATTGCTGCTCAGATAAACAGAGCTAGTTTGTGTGCACGCACACACACACACACACACACACACACACACACACACCACCCAACAAGTGCATGTGCAGAGTGAACATCCTGTGTTAACTGTCACGCTCAACCTCACACCTGAATCACGAATCTGTGTTAACTCTGTAGATCGTGTTCAAAAACATGGCCAGCCGCGCCTACAGCATTTACCCCCATGGAGTGACCTTCTCCCCTGTTGAAGATGAAGCCAACTCTTCCTCCACCTCAGGTTTGAATCTCCCCCATCTACTGACCTCTGGGACCTCTGAGAAGCTCCCTCCTTTTCCTACTGTCTCCCTGGCTCAGAAGTAGCACTTGTGCAGCCAGGTCATGTATGTGCCAGTGTAGACAGGTGAGCGGGCACCCTGGAAGTCACGAGGAAACCCTGCTCGCTGCCAGGGCTTCGTCTACTCCACTGGTTACAAAATACAGTGTCTTTTGTCAGGGCCATAGCGGCCCCTAGTGGAGCCAGATCTGACGATGGCTTGCTACCCGGGGGTTCTCTTAAGTGCATCTTAATATAAAAAAAGAATATTCCTTTCCCGATACTAATTGGTTGTTGTGAGAGCTCAGTTATATTATTTATGCATTCTTCCATTTGTTTGTTCATTTATTCTTCTTCATGAAATAATTCTGAAAGTGACCATGACTTTGACTGTATGTTCTCGCAGGCAGTAACACCATGATCAAAGCAGTTCAACCAGGAGAAACCTACACTTACAAGTGGAATATCCTCGAGTCTGATGAGCCCACAGAAAACGATGCCCAGTGCCTGACGAGGCCGTACTACAGTAATGTGGACGTCACCAGGGACATTGCCTCGGGGCTGATCGGGCTGCTTCTAATCTGTAAGAGCAGATCCCTGGACAAGCGAGGCATACAGGTATGTTGCCCTTGACGTGACCTTTTAGAAATTTCGGGCATTTTTTTTTCCTGGCTGGAACAGATTAGGTCTCCTTGCTAAACAATGGAGCTTTGCCAGAGAGCAGAGAAATACTGAGCAGCCCTCTTGAGCGGGATAACATTTATTCCTCGGGCAACTTTATTGTCCTGTTTTCACCTGGACTCCCACTGCGGAAAGCAAGTCTGCAGTACAAAACCTTATCTTGCTATCGTTTCAAATTCCAGGTCTGCTGGTGTTTTCTGTGTGCTGAGCTGGCCACTTAGCCTCTCTTCCTTTCTTTCTTTTATGAAATGGGTAATACCCATGCGAAAGACTCTACAGGGTTGTTTGGGGGCTCAGTCAGATACCACACCCCCAAAAAGGTGTAGAGCTCTGTACCAGTCCTTGTTGTTTTGGGGGATCTTCACTAGAAAGAGATAAGAGAGGTGCCCTGGGAACAGAGCTTCTGGTGAGACTGGGCCTCAATGACCGTCCATCCCTAGTAAGGCTGAATTATCCAAAGATGAGGATCTATTCACGGTAGAATAGCGTCATATTATTAACTTAAAATTCACAGACAATTGGGCTAAGCTGTAATTTCAAAAGTTTCACCCAAGGCATGCAAAATAAATATACTCCTAGGAAAAGCAGAAATGAACATACGGTAGAGCCCGATTTGCGGAGCCTGGAAAGGAAGCAGGCAGAAAGGGGTGTGGTGCTTTCCTGCCGCAGGCCCTCCTTTGGTCCTTTGCAGCTGCTCAGAGTGCACCCAGCGCCGGTCAGGCAGGATGGTGTTCGGTCACAGAGATACACAGAGTAGCAGCTGCCACAACAAATGGAATTTTTCTCCTAGGCTGTTTTGGTCTTGGGGTTTTCTGGCCTTCCCCTTTTGGTTTTGTGCAATGCCTTTTCTAACAAGGGCTTTGTGCATGCCGGTCTCTCCCAAATGCCCGCACGGGTGGCTTGGGTGGCCCCGAGGGTGTGTCCCTTTGGTGTCTGAAGCCACAGGGAGTTGGCTGCACCATCAGCCACTGAGCCCGGCACCTTCCCTCCAGAGGGCAGCGGACATCGAGCAGCAGGCCGTGTTTGCCGTGTTCGATGAGAACAAGAGCTGGTACATCGAGGACAACATCAACAAGTTCTGTGAGAGTCCCGAGAAGGTGAACCGGGCCGACCCCAAGTTCTACGAATCCAACATCATGAGCAGTAAGTTGCAGCGCCGTCTTTGCCCACCAGCCCCTCAGCCCTGTGTTGGGAGCACAGCTGTGCCCAGAGGCAGGCACAGTTGGAACCTGCTGACCTCTCAGCCTCACTGCGGCCTGGGATCTGGTGACGAAGTGACCTAAACGGTGACACCGGGGCAGCCGTTTCATGGCAAGATGTCCAAAGCTTATTATTTGTACACATCTTCTGGGTCTCCTGCTCCGAGTGAGGGGTGTGTGTGTGTGTGTGTGTGTGTGTGCGCCGGTGGGCATGCTCTGGGCAGGGATGAGCAGGTGAGGGGCAGGGGCAGCAAAGGAAAGGGCGTCGGGCCTTGGTCAGTGGTGTCTGGGCTGCAAAATGGGTGTAAGGAGAGTATTCTATGGCCAGGGCAGGAACAAGGTAAGTAACGCCACACTGGATTTTCACACCACACTGAGGACGTTCATGTGGGGGGGAGCCCTGAGTTTTGCAAAGACACTCCATGACATGGTCTGAAGCATACAGTGAGAAGTTCTGGGCAGTAGGGAGTCCCTGAGCCCTGGCTCGGGCATGCACTGCCGTTTGAAGTTCAGTGTCCAAAGCCACTGCTGTGGGGAGTCCGACTTTGATCTTGTAGTCGCATGTCAGAGCTGGTGAAGCTTATCTCAGGTAATTGCCGCTTCGGTGCAACCCGGTCAACATCAGGGCATTTATTCTCGCCTTCTCGTTGGCGCAGGCCTGGCGTTCTAACAGGTTTGACTCTTGCAGCGATCAATGGCTATGTGCCCGAGAGCATAGCCACACTGGGGTTCTGCTTTGACGACACCGTCCAGTGGCACTTCTGCAGCGTGGGGACCCAGGATGATGTTTTGACCATTCACTTCACGGGGCACTCCTTTGTCTACGGCAAGAGGCATGAGGACACTCTGGCCCTCTTTCCCATGAACGGGGAATCCGTGACCGTCACAATGGATAACGTCGGTAAGAGCCTGGGCGCAGGGAGAGGACCCCCTGGTCTCTGAAGGTCTGCTGCGGCTCTCTGGACCCCCAGGCCCCCGGGCGCATCTCACTCTGCTCCCTTGCAGGCCTTCCTCTCAGTGCTCATCATGATTTCTGTCTGGGGAGTTCACTGCCTCAGTGGGTCCAACCCTTTCATGTGAGTCCCATCTGTCCTGCTCTGGGCTGAGAGAGCAGTAAAAACACATACCCACAGAAAGACACGGCATAACTTTGAGGAGGAAGCATGAGTATTTTGGTCCCAAAAGAAAATTTCTTTGATCAGAATGCCCTCCGGTTTTTTTAAGACAGCCCTCCCCCACTGGGCTCGGTGATCATTGGAGACAGCGCCTTAGAGGCTGGCCTCGGAGGCGGCACGGTGTCCTGGAAGGCACGAGGGCTTGGGAGGTCACCAGACATGGGTTTGTATCCCACCCTGCCCCTCAGTATCTGTGCGACCCCGGGCAGGTGCCTTGCCCTCCCTGAGCCTCAGATTATTCATCCGAAAAAAGTAGAATAACGACACCTTTGTTATTCTACGTCACCAAAGTAACGGAGTTACTTTGATCATTGATTATACTGTGTGCTAAGCTTCCAGCACTCAGGGGACACTCAACCAGTGGTAACTATTGGAGACTTTTCAGGAAATCTCCAGTGTGCCAGCCAATCACTGCATTTCAAAGAGATTCTAAATTGCCCTGGGCCCACGTGAACTATTGACCACTTGGAACACCTAAATATCCCTAATTTCTGGGGGTAGACATCGCCACCCTCCCTGGCTGAGCCCCAATTCCCAACGAGATGTACAGCTAACAAGATGTATCTGATTTTCAAAGTTCGTTTTATTCTCAATTCATCCCTTTTAAAATATGTTCTAAAGTAGTGACTCTACAACCATCTCTGCTAAGAAGTTTTTTCTCCCTACTCTCCACAGACCAATATGTGTGGTCTGTATTCCGTTAAACGAGGTTAAGTGTTCTGATCACATGCTTGGACATCACAGCAATGTCAAGTGGCCCAATAGTGTGCTAAACACTCGACATTCCTTAGCTTGTCTCCTTGGGGCACTGTGGAATGGTCATCAACAGTTTGCAGAGCAGTGGGGGTCCACTGATGACCCCGGCTGTTATCTGCCACAACGTATGTGAGGGGTTTTATGGCTTTTCCTGGACTTAGGGCTCCCCATTCTGTCTCCCTTCTATAGGAACTTGGATGTTGACTACCATGAATTCTAATCCAAGAAGCAAAAACCTACAGCTGAGATTCAGGGATGTGAAGTGTATCGGGCGTGAGAATGAATATGACTATGACATATATGAACTTCCAACATCTGCAGCCATGACTACACGGAAAATGCATGAATTCCCAGAAGGCCACGGGGTAGAGGGTGATGCTGATGATGAACAGGACAGACTGGCTTCAGAACTCGGGCTTAGGTCGTTCAGAAATGCATCCCTGAGTCAGCAGGGAGATGAGTTCAATATCACCGCCCTGGCCCTGGAGAACAGCTCTGAAGTCGAGCCTCCAAGTACTGATACAGCTGTCGGTCCAAATTCTTCTCTCCCACGTAACATTAGCAGGCTCGTTGCCAGTCACTTTGCAGAAACCCACGAAACCCCTCCTCACCCTGAAACCGCCACGGTTGGTCCCCCTGTGGGACGCAGCTCAGAAAAGACCCCAGATCTCAACCCTCCCGCTGCAGAGCACTCCAGCCCTTACTCTGAAGACCCTCAGGAGGGTCCTCTACAGGCAATTGTCACGGAGATAAGCCTACTTCCGCCTGGTGCAGAAGGATCGAGAAGTCAAGGGCATGCTAAACATAATGGAAGAGACACACAGGCTGGGCACAAGTTCTCCCGGATGGGGTTTCTAGTGCATAAAACAGGGAGACATTCGAGCCAAGACAGCCCTTCTTCTAGGACGGAACCCTGGGAGGACCTCCCCAGTGATCTGTTACTCTTGGAACAGGAGACGCCATCTAAGACTTTGAATGGGAAGTGGCATTTGGTTTCTGAAAAGGGGAGCTATGAGGTCATCCCAGAGGCTGATAAAGACATGGCTGTTCCTAACCTACAGCACAGCCCCCAGAATGCCTCGGGGACCTGGGGGGAAAGTGTCCCTCCTCCAGACAAGCTTGGAAATCGGAGTGGCCGCCCAAAGTTTTACGGAGTTAGGCATAAATATCCAAAAGTGAGGCAGGAAGGGAGAAACAGCAGGCCGAAGAACAGCACCGTTTTAATTCGGACACGAAGGAAGAAGTTTGCACACCGCACCCCTTTCTCCCCAAGGAGCTTTCGCCCCCTCAGAGGAGTGACCAGCAGCACGGGTTCAGACGCACGTCTCATGTCCAACCAGACATCGTTCCCCACACACCTCAACCAGACATTCTCCTCTACAGACCTCAGCCCGACGGCCTCACTTCCCGACCATAATCGGGACTCCCTGAACAATGCCGGCCAGACAGGCTTCTTGCCAGACATTTCTCAGACGGCACCCCCAGAAGAGCGCGACCAGAGGTTCCCTCTCCCAGACTCTGATCGAATGCACTTCACCACAAAGCCCAGTCACAGACCTTCTCCAGAGCCCGGCCAGGGGTTCAGCTATGACCTAAGAAACCAGCGCTCCCCCACGGACTCTGGACAAATGTCACCTTCCTTAGAACCTGAAGTCTGGCAGACGGCCATCTCCCCAGACGTCAGTCACCCACCCCCCTCTCCAGAACCCAGTCGGTCAAACCTTTCCCCAGGACTCAGCCTGCAGACTCTCTTTTCAGACCTCGACCAGACGACCCTCTACCCTGACCTTGGCCAGGAGACCCTCTCCCCTGACCTCGACCAGACGACCCTCTCCCCTGACCTCGGCCAGGAGACCCTCTCCCCTGACCTCGACCAGGTGACCCTCTCCCCTGACCTCGACCAGACGACCCTCTCCCCTGACCTCGGCCAGGAGACCCTCTCCCCTGACCTTGGCCAGGAGACCCTCTCCCCTGACCTCGGCCAGACGACCCTCTCCCCTGACCTCGACCAGACGACCCTCTCCCCTGACCTCGGCCAGGAGACCCTCTCCCCTGACCTCGACCAGACGACCCTCTCCCCTGACCTCGGCCAGGAGACCCTCTCCCCTGACCTCGGCCAGGAGACCCTCTCCCCTGACCTCGGCCAGACGACCCTCTCCCCTGACCTCGGCCAGGAGACCCTCTCCCCTGACCTCGACCAGACGACCCTCTCCCCTGACCTCGACCAGATGACCCTCTCTCCTGACCTCGACCAGACAACCCTCTCTCCTCTTGGCCAGGAGACCCTCTCCCCTGACCTTGACCAAATGACCCTCTCCCCTGACCTCGACCAGACGACCCTCTCCCCTGACCTCGGCCAGATGACCCTCTCCCCTGACCTTGACCAGATGACCCTCTCCCCTGACCTCGACCAGACAACCCTCTCCCCTGACCTCGGCCAGATGACCCTCTCCCCTGACCTCAGCCAGATGACCCTCTCCCCTGACCTCGGCCAGGAGACCCCCTCCCCTGACCTCAGCCAGGAGACCCTTTCCCCTGACCTCAGCCAGACGACCCCTCCTGCTCTCAGGTGGACATCAGCCTCTCCAGACCTTGGTCAGATACCCTACACTTCTGAACCTAGTCAGACTTTCCCTTCTTCAGACCTCAGTCAGATGCCATCTCTTCAACCGTCTTCTCCACTAAATGACACTTTTGTAACAAAGGAATTGAATCTCCCATTCGTTATTGGCTTCAGTGGAGATGATGGAGATTACATTGAGATTATACCAAGCGAGAGGGAAGAAAGCAATGAAAAAGACTATTACGAATTTGACCACGTGGCCTATGATGATCCTTACCAAACTGACAGGAGGACGGACATGAACTCCTCCAGAAACCCCGACAGCATCGCAGAATGGTACCTCCGCAGCAACAGCGGAAACAGGAAATACTACTACATCGCTGCTGAAGAAATATCCTGGGATTACTCAAAATCTGCACAAAGGTTTGGCCAGTTTTCTCCTCTTGTTTCCCCCCCGCACACACTTACTGCTAAAAAAAAAAAATGTCTAAGGAGGTAATTCTGGGCAAACTAGCTAAGTATCATTTACTTGCCCTATTGCAACTTGGCTTACACTATTTCCTCTGTCAGCTCCAAGATTAGCTACTCTACTCTGGGTAGCATCTGGACGACATACAGACAACCACTGTAAGAAGTCTGTGATAGTCTAGAGTTAAACAAGGCTACACCTCTCTCTTCTCCATCACACATATTCCTCCTACCCCTCTTGCTGCAGGGCAGAGCCCAGCCTTTCCATAGCTGTCTGCTCACCAATAAGATTTCACTGACGTTAGCTTACGGCCAAATTTGTGATACAGACATTGCATTTCCTTGTTCACCAAAAGACTTAAAAATTGTCTCCGGATCAATATAAAGTGGACGGCATCTTTGTAAAGTTTAATTCTAATTCCAGGAAATTCTAATAGTGGAGGCCAAGGATATAAACTAGCTTAGAAACAGAAAACAGTACCACCCATTTTACGGCACTCAAGCCGTTTTCGTCCCCCTGTGCTCTGTGAGACTGTGCGTTCTGCTTCGAGTCTGGAAGGACGAGGTTAGTGGGGCAGAAAGGCTGGGAGGAAGGCAGAATGGCATCATCTGCCGACGACTTACGGTGTTTGTAGCAAAGGATATGAGACTGATGCATGAGCCCGTGGCCTATTTTGCACAGGCTGCGGAAATTTAAGGGCCAGTGGGAAAATCTGATGTGCCCTGGCCCTAGATAGAGCTACCTGAGGAATAATGTGATTTAACGAAAGGAAATGCGGTGAGAGTGTGGCTACTTTCAGATTATAGAACACCCATCCATCCAGCAGCCTTCACAGAGGTGGCCTTCTAAGTCAGCTGACCATTGTCACCTAGCCCTAAGCCCTGGGCATTGTCCCATTTCGTGGCTTTGTCTGCTTTGGATGTTAAAATCTGCTATGTTAATATGCGACTATATTTGTGCATTAATGCACTGAACAAAAATGTATTAAATGCCTATGATATGCTAATTAATCTGCTAGGCACCGGGAGTAAAATTAGGAGCTAACAAGGCAGAGCCCCAGACTTCATGGAGCACTCCCCCTAGAGGCAGAGGCAGATGTTACTAGATAATCGCAAGAATCAGTGACACTCAATTTACCATATGTAAAAATACTACAGGACTATTATAAGACTTTACTGTGTATACGGTAGCAATACTATAGGAAAGGAGGAATGCTATAAAGAGATTTGACTGGTCTAAAGGCTAATAGGTGGGTTTACCTAAGAAATAATATGTGAGCTGGCTATCAGCAGATAGCACAAGCACTATCTGCTGGCTTGTGCTTTTAGTCATTTATATCTTCATTCACTTGTTTATCAAACATGTATGTAGACAGATTCTAGGCAGCCTTCTGGATGGAGAGAACAGCATGAGCAAGGCCCTGTGCTGGGTGCCGTATTCAGAAACAGAGATTGTTTCCTAAATTCTTTAAATGGCCTTCCATTCATTCTTGTAAAGAAGTACTGTTATTACCGTTTCAGCGAAATGGATGGTGAAGACAGTGAGGCCGTTGCGGAAGGCACCGTGTACAAGAAAGTGGTTTTCCGAAAGTACCTGGACAGCACTTTCACCAAGCGAGACCCTCGGGGAGAGTATGAAGAGCACCTCGGCATCCTTGGTCCTGTTATTAGGGCCGAAGTGGGTGACGTCATCCAAGTAAGTCACCTTTGGGGAATTCCCACGAGTACCATGGGGTCGTCAAGGTGAAGGCGGCAAGAAAGAGCTATTGGTGATGTACTTCCTTTCCAGAATTAACGAATAATGACATTCCTTCTCAAAGGCAGCTCGCCAAGTCAGCTGATGATCCTCAAGAAAGAAAGTCACCTCATGACTTTTATTTCTCCCTCCACTGGGCTCCTCCTCCTTCTATAAGGACCGATGCCCTTTCTCCTATAAGGAACTTTCTTGAAGGCCCCCAGCCTTCCCTAAACAGTCAGCCGAACTGCTCCTCCCAAGCACCCCCTGACCCCACTCACACTTGGCTTATGACACCTTTTGTGCCCATATTTTAACTTGTCCCCAGACTTTTTAACTTGAATCCACAGGTGCGCATCTCTCTTCACCAGCAGGCTGAGGGCTTGATCTGCGACACCCATCATTAGCTTCGTGTTGGTACATGATGTCAATACTTTTGCCATGAGTCTGAGAAGGAACATGTTTTGGTCTTTCCGGGAAAAAACTACCTGGGCCCTATCTCCCAGGATGGTTGTAAAAATTAGATGAAATAATATACGTAAGTTACGTGGCCACTGGATTCTCGTTAAGTTCAAGGGCATTGTGGATTGTTGTTTCTCCTAGGTGCGTTTTAAAAATTTAGCGTCCAGACCATATTCTCTTCACGCCCACGGGCTTTCCTACGAAAAATCCTCAGAGGGCAAGATGTACGAAGACGACTCTCCCGAATGGTTTAAGGAGGACGACGCGGTCCAGCCCAACAGCAGTTACACCTACGTGTGGCACGCCACCGGGAGGTCAGGGCCCGAGAGCCCCGGCTCGGCCTGCCGGGCCTGGGCCTACTACTCGGCAGTGAACACGGTAGGTCCGCAAGGGCCAGTCACTTCCTAGTCTGAGCCCACCCAGTGGAGTGGTCCAGGTGATTTCTTGTTGAGTGTCTGCCTTGCTTCCGGTGAAGGAGGTGCAGGGATGGTGGTCGACCCTCGACAGCTACCGTAGCCGGGGACTGTCCCTGGAGACCTACAGGTGACAAGGAGAAACGCTTGCTCGGTGGAGAGGAGGGAGGATCGCTGAAACGGTTGAGTGACTGCCCTCTAGAGGAAGACGTTTCCTTGCAGCCTCCTTGAGCAAGGATTGGCTTTCTCCTCCTCTCTGTCTGGGGAGGAGCAGCAGAGGCAAGTCTCCCCCCACCTTGGGCATGGTCAGGAGAGCACAGGCCCGGCTTCAGGTCCTGCCCTGTGGCTTACCGTGTGGCCCGAGGACAGTTAGCTGACCTCTCGGCCTCGGTTCCCACAGTTAAAAGTGAGGTAACAACAGGACACAGCACAAAGTAGGCACTCGGTAAGTTTGTTTAATCAGTGAATTCTTCTTTATAGGATTGTTATCAGAATTATATAAGAAGCTATAAGCAAAATATGCACTATACTAGTAAATGCTCAGTAAATAGTATATGTGATAGTATTGATATTATCATAATCATTATCATGACTACCACATCCAGATAAACAATTTATCAAAGGAAGGGTGTATGAATGAGATGGAATTAGATGAATAATGTCTAGCCTTATGAAGCTACGCATTTGTAACTTTCCAGGTCAGAGCCTCTGAGTGTTCCTTTGCTACATGATCAGTGGTTGCTAGAAGAGCAAAGAAAATGCTGAGAGAGAACATGTCCCCCTTGCCCCCACTGTCTTCCAGGAAAAAGATATCCATTCGGGCTTGATAGGGCCCCTTCTGATCTGCCAAAAAGGGACGCTTCATAAGGAGAGCAAGATGCCTGTGGACATGAGAGAATTCGTCTTACTCTTCATGGTCTTCGATGAGAAGAAGAGCTGGTATTACGACAAGAAACCCCAAAGGTCCTGGAGACGCACGTCCTCCGAAGTAAAACACTCCCATGAGTTTCATGGTATTTTCCTCTGACCTTGACCCTGATCTCTGAGCTAAATCACTCTGGGGGACAGTGGCGCCTGCCCTTAGGTCTCCACAAGATAAGGCAGGAGATGCTTCTGCAGAACTAGGAGCTACCACTGAAGTTAGGGGGGCTGATGGGACCTGGCAGGTGACACTGCAGGGGGAGGAAATGCGGGAACGTCTGAAACACTCACAGAGGCTGCTGCAGCGAGCACCCCAACAAACCAGCCAAAAAAGCCGGCCTGCGTCAGTGAAACACACACTAAACGGGAATTAGCATTATTCTGCAACCTAAGCGCTTCATGAACCTGTTTCTTAGCCTTTAAAGGAAAACTGTTTCCATAGTAGAAGTGATCACCCACGTGCACTTTGTAAACTAAGAGGGACTGCAACAGTTTCAGCATCTGGCAGTGCAGAGAAAACCACACGACCAAAACAGGCAGCCCAAACGCTCTCGGCTCCTCTCCCTCCAGCAGTGCACTGGCTTGGCTCCTGAAATTCCACGGCTATTCCTTTAATTATAGAAGGATAAACAACAACAAAAATTTCCCTGACTTTAGTCCCCATTAAGTGCAGGGGAGCACGACATTGATCATTTAAATGTCGTACTATTGTATAAGGTGATCGGTGTAGGAGGCCTTCGGGTGGTATGCTGCATATCTGCTTCCTCGAGCTCTTTCCTCTCAACACTGGAGTTCTCTCATCTGGCTTACTGATTAGTAGCAGAGGAAAATTCGAACTATAAATGGGAAGGATACATGGGTAAAGCAGAAAGCAGGAGCGGTGGGGGGTCTGGGGAAAAGAGTGAGGAAGTACAGAAAAGGGGACTCACCCACATTCTGCCACAGGCCGTGTGAGAAGGAGCTGGTGGTCTTCGCTGACATCATGCCACAATAGGCGACCCTGAGTGGACCTGGCATGCAAGGAAGCTGGGTGATGGGTGGGGCCCTCCTAGGTCCTTACCAGCCTCTCTCCTGATCTACACAGATCTGTAAGCGATGGCACCTCTCTGTCCTTTCAGCCATCAACGGGATGATCTACAACTTGCCCGGCCTGAGGATGTACGAGCAGGAGTGGGTGAGGTTGCACCTGTTGAACTTGGGCGGCTCCCGAGACATCCACGTGGTTCACTTCCACGGCCAGACCTTGCTGGAAAACGGCACTCAACAGCACCAGTTAGGGGTGTGGCCCCTTCTCCCTGGTAAAGAGCTGGGCCCTGACAAGAGATCCTGGCTGCAAAGTGGCGAGAAGGCAGTCTTAGCATCTCTCCCTCACCCCCTCCTTGGGCATTTCCTTCTGGGGAGTTATGCACGGGTTCTGGGTGAGCCCAACCCCTGGGCTGCATAGAGAGTATGAGAAAAGCCAGCTGGCGTGCGTGCACCATCTGTAACATGGCACTGGCTACCTGTGTGGTCCCACTTGGCTCTGCAGAAGGCGAGCTCTAGTGCAGGTTCTTCCGAGCCACCCAGTGTCACTTAAGCAGATTACAGCATGACCCCCGCGGGGCTCAGGCAGCGTCGGGGATTTTCGACTTCTTGCATTCTACTCCTCACTCTGATATTCCGATATTTTTCAGGCAAGTGACTACAAGATTCTTAACCTTCAACTGATAGATGAGGCTATTTAAAGAAAAAAATTCTTTAAAAAAATGATTAGAAAAGCTAAAAAATAATGAGGGTATTTAGAGCCTTTCATGTGCAGAACAGTGATAAGGTTTAAACAAACTTGTCATCTAAAAGGATTCTTTTAGCTGGCCATTACTTTTTGCTTGCAGCCCAGGAAATGGCCCCAAATTGTAGAGAGCGGATTTAAGTGGTCACCGGCAGTAGGCGCTGGTCAATAGCAGACCAGAGGGCTCAGGAATCTCATTCTTTCAGTGATGTTCTGAGCCGGTTTGTGTACACTTCGTCCAACTATGTAAACTCGATTGAAAATTTGAAACATGGGAGAAGGATGTTTTATTTCAACTGACTTCTATGAGAAAAGAAAAGCTAGTGAAATGAAGAGAGAGGAGAGAAACACAGACAATAGTTTTGAGGCCCAACGATGGGCCGTTGCTTTGATATTTAGGACTGTGGAGCTCTACCCTGTGTGGGGTAACTCGTAACGTTTAGATGAATGAAAGCTTCCTTCCAGTAAGGGGCGTTAGAGATTTTTTAGGTTCTGGGGTATCTATTGGTAGTTGTGTGTGTGTGTGTGTGTGTGTGTGTGTGGTGGTGGTGGTGATAATGGTGATAATACTGTTGCTTTGATCTGCTTGTCACACTTGTGGTCCCACCTGGAAAGAAATGGAAAGCCCGGTTCTATTCTAAAGCTGCCCTTATCAGTGATGCAGACATGGATGCAGCCATGTTAGGGTTCTTTGATAGCTGCCAACCTACAGGAACCCATTAATTTTTGAGGATGTAATGTTGTCTTTCACTCCCTGTTTCAGGTTCGTTTAAAACTCTTGAAATGAAGGCGTCAAAACCAGGCTGGTGGCTCCTAGACACAGAGGTGGGAGAAAACCAGAGAGCGGGGATGCGGACGCCCTTTCTCATCATAGACAGAGGTATCGGCAAGAGCCGAGTGACGTTTTTAGCAGCAGAGTCCTGTTACTAGACAATTACCTACTAGTAGAGAGAAAATAATCAACTCGGGACTCTGATACCACAAACACACACTGTATAGCAGTGATTACTTTCGTTCTGGCCACGGTCTGATTATATAACCACAAAGATCAGCCATCCAGGAAACTTGAACCAAAGGGTTCAACCCAAAAGCATTCCTCTCACTTAGGGAACCAGCATAAAGCACCCACCTCCATGATTTGTGACCCTTGGAAAAGCGCATGGGAGAAATTCTCCAGACTCTTGGCAGTAACCACTGCAGTCACTGAACTTGGCATCCCAGTATTTGAGAAAAAATGTCTGTCTGTCCATCCAGCCAGCCAGCCAGCCAGTCAGCATTTGTTAAGCAGCTGCTGAGTGCCACGCACTGTGCCGACATCCAGATGGTCTAGTGGCTGGTATTCTCTTGGCTGGTATCACCGTTCAGGTACATTTTTCGCAACATAGTCTTTTGAGGGCTAGTACTTAATGTTGTAACGTGGCTTATTTGAAGATGTACGCAACTGGAAATCAGTTTAAAAACCAATTGTACTTCAGGATATCAGTTTTCCTTGGGTGCCGTTATTTCTGTTAAAGTACCAGCCTCGTTAGTGCATTAGCCACTTTGTGATCAGATATCTTTAAGTCAGTGCTCTACGAAGTAGGAAGCAATGTCCCATTACCAACCCGCCAGAGGTGCCGTCTGTAGCCGTGGAGTTATACCTCGTTCAGTGTATTTGCTAAGCATCGTCCTGTTTCCTGCAGAATGTAAGATGCCGATGGGACTGAGCACAGGCGTCGTAGCGGACAGACAGATCAAGGCGTCTGAGTTTGTGGGTGAGTAGTGGCATCTCAGCCCCCGAGAGGCACCTCCTGCAATGGCACAGGACACAGCCTGTGAAGACCACGCCCGACAGCCGAGCCTGCTGAGCCTGTGGGCTGCCGCTCCTCCCCAGGCTCTTCTGGGTCACAACGTGGTAAAAATAGCTCAATTCGCGCTGCTTGTCTGGTCGAGGAAGGAGCACCGTGGCAGGAGCTAAAGCCTGTCGGCACCCCTTTATCTCTGCCCCGCCCCGCCCCCAGGAAATAAGGTTCCCGAAGAGTGTCTCCCAGGGAAGACCAAGAACTTGGCCTCCTGACACAGGCAGTCTGACCTATCAGCAGATTGCGCGAGAGGGAGCCTGCTCTTATGACCGTGGGCCCTTTCCCCAAACTCTCCCCACTCATCCCGTCTGGGTTCCATCACACATGGATATTCCAGCCACGTTCCCAGGGGCTTTTCCACCAAGAGTCCCCACTAGTGGGCCCTTTGCTGTGCTAACCATTCACCTATTCAAGAAACTCTTTAAATCATCCCCTGTGTGTCGGACACTCCTCATTGTCTTCACTGCTCAAAGCCCTTCCCAAAATCAAGAGGTTGATTGCAAGAGACCACAAGGCTCCCATAAATCCCTCCCCTGCCTTCCTGGTAGGCAGGCACACTCAGCAGCCACCACTTCCACATAGCTAAGGAGAGATAAACATGACCTGTGTGCAAGAAAGGGGTGGGTGGTGCTTCACAACTGACCGGGCATGGACGTCAAGCCAAGATTTCATCACCATGGACAAGGTCAGGGGCAGAAACCTGCACCGACTGGTCTTCTAACTGCAGACGAGGGTCCCCGGGGGTCTGGTTTGCCTCCTGTAGTATAGCTGCACTCGCTGGAGAAATCGCTAACTGCATGTTTTTTTTTAAAAATTCATAATAAATTCTTTTCTTCCTTTGGATTTAGGTTCTTGGGAGCCCAAATTAGCAAGATTAAACAACGCTGGATCATATAATGCTTGGATGACAGAAAGAATGTCAGAATTTGACTCTAAACCTTGGATCCAGGTATGACTTACCGATCTGGTAATATTTGCTGCTACCGCAAAATAAAAGTGACACGAATAATTTCTTCTTGTTGTCCTCGCACTGGCGTTAGGGGAAATAGCAATTACTAGGTGTTCGGCAGTATTATAAGTACAGAGCATACTCAAAATGAACTCTGTGCGGTTGGTTCTGGCAATATCCCATTTTGCAGATGAAAAAACCATAACAGAGGGATCGACAGATTCTCTGGGTCCTCTGTGCTCAAACTCAAACTGCATCCAGCCTTTTCATTAGTTTGCTAAGACCTGAGGGGCCAGCTCCTTAGTGCTAAAGAAAGCTGGTTGTGGCAACAGGTGACTTGTTGGTGAGGACAGGACTGTTCAGTGGCTTTGCTCTATTGCAGGTGGACATGCAGAGGGAGGTCCTGTTCACAGGGATCCAATCCCAAGGTGCCAAGCACTACCTGAAGTCCTACTACACCACTGAGTTCCGTGTGGCGTACAGCTCCGACCAGACCAACTGGCAGATTTTCAAGGGCAACAGCACAAGGAATGTGATGGTCTGTGAGCAGTGCCTTTCTGAGTCTCCACACTCACCGCGGGGTCACTGTGGCTGTGTCCACGACTCTTTCTTTTTGTACAAATACTGCTTTTCTGGGCGTTAGAAACCTAAAGGGCTTTCTTAGGGCCTCGGGAGGAAGGGGTGAAGCGATGGGTCTGTCTGTTACAAATTAGAGGGATACATCTGATTTCTGAAATTTCCAGACTCCACAAAACTTCTTAAAGAACCACTTTATCATCCAACTAAATACCCAGACTTTTCGGATTAGCAGATGGTGTACAGCAGAGTAGAATATCTGCTCTTGTGCTTTAAGAAGCTCATGTTAAAAATATGCCACCAAGAGTTTTGATTTTATTAACTTTCTATATTCTCACTTTCTGTACTATCTGTAACTCATTTTCTATATTATCACTTAGCTATTCCTAGTAATAGTCATTTGTGTTAAACCTTAGGATAGATCAGAAAAATAATAAATTATGGTTCTCACTAACCACTAGTGGAGAGAAAACACAGACCCCAGTCAGATTCCCTAAAGAGTTTTACATCTATATTTACGAGGGGTATTGGAACATAGTTTTATTTTATTTTTGTGCTGTCTTTTCTGGCCTTGATAATCAGAGTAACAGTAGCTTCAAAAAATCAATTGGGAAGCATGCTCTTTTATTCTACCTTGTGGAAGAGATGGTCTAGATAAAATTGGGGTTAATTCCTTAAGCATGGGCAGGATTTGCCGGTGAGACCTTAGGGGCCTCCTGGAGATTGCCCTTCTAGGAATCTTAGAGTCACAGACCCAGTTTCTTTAGCAGTACAGTCTTTTCAAGTTATCTATTTTATGTCAGTGAGTTGAGATAGTTGGTGCTTCTTTGATAAACTAATCCATTTTCTCTGAGTTGTTGTATTTATGTCCAGAGGTGTTTGTGATTCCTCCTTATCTCCCTTCTGAGGTCCGCAAGGTCTGTAATGATACGGCCATTTCTCCTCTGATATTCTTCTCTTTTTAGTTTGTTAGTCTTGTTAGAGATTTGCCAGGTTTTGTTTTTCTTTTATCTTTTCAAAGAACTGGCTGTCTGTTTCATGGCTTTTATCTGCTGTGTTTCTGTTTTCTGTCTTACTTACTCAGTTACTTTCTGAGTCTGCTTCTATCTTCTGTGTCAGCTGGATCTTTCTGACACTCCTCTGGCAGGGGGATGGGACACAGTCCCCTTACTGCCAGATGGTCAAAGTCCAGGTCCCCCACCCGAGGAGGGACTTCCTCCTCCTTATTGCTGAGTGGGGATGACATGCAGTTCCCTGGGAGCCCTGTTAGGGACAGCGAGGATGAAGGTCCGGGGGGGTCCCTAGCTGGCCTCCATTGACATGATCCCAGGAAGGGCACTGAGGTGCCTCACTGAAGTCTCACAACCACGAAAGTCAAGGCTCCGCACTTGGCCTTTGCTGTAGTTGGGTGGGGTGGGGCCATGGTTGTTTCTATGGAGTTCAGCTTGAAGTAGAGCAATTATTGTCTAAAAGTTTTCTATTTCGCTGGGCCGTCCTTTCTTGGTTCTGAGGCTAGAGAAAGCAGGCTTTTGCCGGGGCTGTTTTGTCTGGGCCCATTAGTGTTTCCCGGTCGCTGGCTTCTTCTCGTCCAAGTCTGGGGTCTATGGGGCAAAAAGGAAACCCATGTTGTTCCTTGGGTCCTAGAACTCTAACCAGTCTGCCTTCTCTCCACCTTCCTGAGTGTTCTTATGTTTTTAACTGTACTTAACAGGAAGGATAGGCAAAGGGAAATGTGGAAACTATACCACATTTCTAAAATGGAAGTACCCTCGAATATTTCCACAACCAAATGGATTTGGTTCTGGTCACATGGAAACTTAAAATGACAGTATGAAACTAGACCAAAGTTTTACTGTAAAATCATTTATAGAGAATTTTTACACAACTAAGCTTTTCCCTTTTCCTCTAGTACTTTGATGGCAATTCAGACGCCTCTTCGGTAAAAGAAAATCGGTTTGACCCACCAATTGTGGCCAGATACCTTAGGGTCTATCCAACTCGATTCTATAACAAACCTGCCCTTCGACTGGAGCTGCAAGGCTGTGAGATTAACGGTAAGGCGCCGAGATGCGTTACTATCTTACCGTCACTCAGAGAATCGAGATTGGGGGGTATGGGAGAAAAGGGCCACCTTTTATTCCTCTTCACTTGCTTCGGCCCTAAAACTGTCTCTTGGGAAGCAGAGGCTCCCCTCAGGTAGACGCTCATGTGACTAGAAGGACACAGGTGCTGGCGGCACCTGGATGACGTGGCCTGTGCCCTGACACTCCAAGGAAGGAGCGGGGGCCTGGAATGGCCTCTGTCAGCCCATTTTCAATAGAACTGAGATGCAAACTAGGCCTGAGTCTCCCCCCATCCTTCAGGCCATTCAGCCATTCATGTCAGTGGAATAAAAGTATCCAGCCACGTTCCTAGCAGGTATTAGAGTTCAGGGAATGTTTTTGAAACCTAACTCTGCTTCCCAACTTCCTGAAACCTTGACCAGACTCCATATTCCGGTCTGCACCCTGTGCAGGTCCCCGAACCTTTGCTGCGTAAGCTGCTATTTTTCAGGGGATGTGATGGTACTGATGGTATCGATAAGTCCAGGTGACCATCAATGGCCATAATGAAATTCTACTACATACAGCAAAGGCGTTTAAGGGTCTTAACTACTATCCCCCTTCTCTGGCTCTTAACGTGGTGTTTTCAGAATTTTTCGTGGCAAGGCACACACAGAAAATAATACTTTTCACTGGAGTAAAAGAATAAAGGAGCTGACCCCGGGCTTGGCCGATCCGGGCACAGCCTGGCTGCCCATGACCGAGGGCGAGGCAGACCGACACGCAGGCACGCCAGAAGCCTGCTGCGAGGCGCCGGCTGGGAAGCCACAGCAGCCTCTCTCGGGCTGCGGGAAGGGCCGCCGCACGTGGTGGAGTCCGGGGCTGAACCTGGGAGTCGGTTTCTTATCAGAGCAGACAGTGTCGCCTTACCCTGTTGGTATTCTCAGGGGTACAGATGTGGGCACTTGGCCAGGGCCCAGGCAGCAACTGGCCTGTAACGTCCCCCCATGAAATTCAGCTCCAGAGCAGGCCAGCGTGCTCCTTGAAATGTCTCTACGAATCATTGTTTTTCCTTTCCACGTGGTCTATGATGTAAGTGGTAGGTTGCTCCACTCACAGAGTCAAGCTACGTAAAATTGGACATTGGACTCTATTTTCTATACAAGATTATATTGTTTAAAAAATCTCATTTGCATATTATTTATATTAGCATTCTAATGTTAATTAGTATTCTTTTTAAGCCTTTTTTTAAAATTTTTTTGAGAGAGACATCGATTTGTTGTTTCACTTATTTATATATTTATTGGTTAGTTCTAGTTCGTGCCCTGACCAAGGATCGAATTGACAACCTTGGCATATCAGAAGGACACGCTAAGCAAATGAGCTATCAGGCCAGGGCCAACCCCCCCACCCCCCTCCCCGCTGTGGAGGGAGTAAGGTAGCACTTGAAGGCAACGCCTGCATGATTTACTAGCGAGAACCACATGTCACCCTGGCGACGGTGATGGTCAGTGGGCTGGGCTCACTCACCAGCCATGGTTCTCACACTCTCAGATCAGCCCCACGGCCTGTGACATTTAAATTCACACCTGGCCGAATTCTAGAGGGCGCACAACAGGAACCACCCTCAAAAGGCTGAAAATAAATCATGAAACGTGAGTACTGAGGGTCCACTTTACCTTCTTCTTCTTCACCATTGTTAGAAGAAGAAGCAGGGTTTGTTTTCATATCCACAGATAGGAGTGTTGTCCACCTCAAAGCCAGGCCCCGGGGCTGCATGACTCTGAAGGAGGGAAATGAGTTTGGAAGTTTCGGTGTCAGACGGCCTGGGCCCAGATTTAGTTTCTGATCTTCTAGCAGTGTTCCTGCGGGCAAGTTACTTTTCCTTCCTGTGCCTTTCTCCTTGGTAAAACAGAGATGCTCAGGAGCATCACATCGTAGCACAAGGAAGCCTGGAAACAGGTCCGCACTTGGAGAGTGGCAGCGGATCATTGCGATGGCCGTTTTGTCGTCACTCAGCGGTCTCCGTGTTCCTTATCGCCTCTGCACACGAAGTGTCCCACAGGGAATGTCAGTGGCGCATAATCAATCACGTCACTTGTCTCTCCGCAGGCTGCTCCACACCGCTGGGCATGGAAAGTGGGAAGATAGAAAACACTCAGATCACAGCTTCCTCGTTTAAAAAGTCCTGGTGGGGAGACTACTGGGAGCCCTTCCGCGCCCGTCTCAACGCCCAGGGCCGAGTGAATGCCTGGCAAGCCAAGGTGACTGACCCCCTGTGAGCACAGTCCCCCAAGCTTCCAGGAGAACACAGAGACCCCACTGTAAGGAACACAGGGGCCTGGGAAGCCAGGCAGTCACCCCCTGGTCCTGCAGGTTGTGGTCCCAGGTCTGAGAATCTAGGACGGCTGCTGGCCTGAGAGCTGCAGCGTTGGCTCTGGTGCACAGAGAAGTCATTTATCATCTTTGCAGGTCTTTGTCTAATTTTAATTCAGACCAGGGTGGGCAAAAGGCCAGGCAGTGAATATTTTAGGCCTTGTAAGCCATACAGTTCCTGTCACACAGGAAGACAGCCATAAACATTATGGAAATGAATGCTCATGGCTGTGTTCCAATAAAACTTTATTTACAAAACCAGGCAGTGGGCCAGATTTGGCCTAGAGCCGTACTTTGCAAATCCCCTTTGAGACAACTGACATTAGCGATAAGTGATTTAGATTTGTAACGTCTTTTTTCCCCTCCATTCCACAGTCCAGCAATATTTTTTATTTTCTTAAGAGCGCCATTTAAATTGTTTTTGGTTTTTTGGGGTTTTTTTTTGAGAACTTTGTGACATTCCTTTACACCACCGGCAGCACAGTAAAATGCTGCACAACTAGAGTTGTGAATCAGTGATCTAAACTGAGGAAACATCTGGAGACTGACGGGGCGCCTGGTATCAGCCCACTGAGTGATTCAGGTGGCAGGTTGAGGGTACCTCTTAATAACCTACTCACTTTTACTGCACTGTTCGACCGACCTGAGGAATCAGAATGACATCAGCGATAAGAAAAATCCTGTCAACCAATTCAATGCGAGTTCCCCGTTTCCTATCCTCCTAACTCCCTCCCTTAAGGAGCCCACACTCCGGTTCCCTGGACTCTCTGCAGATTCCCACACTCTGACCTCACATCAGGTCACCAGTGGTACCAGTGGAGGAAGTGGAAGACCTGGGACCCCATACGGGTTGTTCTGGGCACGAATGTCCAGGTCTCCACACTCATTTCTGGACTTTCAGAGAATCTCAGGATGTTAGAACAGCAAGGGATTCTATAAGCATCTGGTCCAGACTTCCCTTCTCTGTCTCAACACGAGGGGGACTGAATAAGTTTGGTCTGGGCTGGTGGCAGAATCAGAAATCCTGTTCTCCTGACACACAGGCCAGAGCTCCTCCCGCCACCTGAAGCAGGCCACACACCTCACTTTGCCATTGTGCAGAGGGGCGAACTGAGACACCCAAAAGTTAAAATGAGAGAAGCAGTCATGTTACATTACATTAAATAATTTTAAAAATACAGTCATTAAAAAAAGAAAAGCAGTTCCAAAGAGAAAGGAAGTCAGATGTTTCCCAGAGGGTCCTTCAGACCAGTGAGACCGGGCCACCCACCCTCCCCTTTGCAGCCTTAAGAACATGGCTCTGTGTACACTTTGCTCCTGCTCTTTGTGAAGTAACCCAGGCTCCAAAGACAAAACGCTGGTTTTTAATGCTGCCGTTTCAAATCTGGGATTTTAGGTCAGAGGTATTTGTTTCACTTGACCTATGAGCATGAAATGTCTTCACAGGGTCTCTTGAGAGATGCTGAAAGTCTAAGCAAGGCATACAGCCACGGAGGCGTGCGTGCAGATTGAAGGGTCTCTACCCCTTTTATGTCTGCAGAATAATTGTATGCCTGGAAAACTCTGCTAGCTCCCTGTATTCGGTATCACAAGCACAGCCTTGATTTGAAGGCGTGCGAAGATACCACCAAATGCCACTAGAGGGCGTTAGAAAGCTAACAAAAAATTTGCTGCGGCAAATCAACTAACTTTCTTCAAAAATACATAAGGCATATGATTATATACATACATATGTACAAATACAGACATGCACATGTGAGTGGTGCTGAGAAAAGTATATCAATATCCATCATTTCGCACAGAACTGAGTCTGTGGAGCATGATGAATCACCCACAGTTGAAAATGCATCTCCGATCACCGTAAAACTCAGTCGGTCCTTCTGACCCTCTTTCTGCAAGTGCATCCCTCCAAACACGTGACTAGGCATTTTGTTCAGCCAGAGACAGGATCCCTGCTATACCAGTCAAGCCCTAGGAATAGGTTCATCGGGTCTCTCAAACATCATCTGTATTTGGAACATCTGCAAAGAAGTTGAACTATTTCTCCTCTTTGACATTAGCAGTGGAAAGAAAAGTGGGACTTTAAAAAAAAAAAGTAACTCCAATTCTTTTACAGAAAACCCTTCAGTCACATCAGCAATACCATATGTTTAAGCAAACTTGCTTTCCAGAATAACATTTACAGATGAGGTATCAATTTAATATTTCTCCCCCGCAAATTTTATTTACTTGTTTATTCGACAAATATCTGGTGGATGCCAGCTGTGTGCCATGCATTGTGGAGAGTGCACAGAAAGAAAACTAAGTTACCCTTTCTTTTTCTTAAAGAAGAAGGATACAAAGAAGTAATAAGATGATGATCGTGCCATGTGTGACATGCTCTGAAAGAAGTCGATATATATCCTATAACAACAAACAAGGAATTGGAAAAGCTTGGAGGAGACAGGGAATCCTAATGTCACAGAAAAGAAATCCTTAGAACTCTATACATTTCTGGGTAACTTGGTCTAAAACAGCAAAGGATCCAACACCTGTTTCATCATTGTGTTCTTGTCATTTTCACAGGCAAACAACAACAGACAGTGGTTACAAATTGACCTGCTCAAAGTCAAGAAGATAACCGCGATCGTCACGCAGGGGTGCAAGTCTCTCTCCTCTGAAATGTACGTGAAGAGCTACGCCATCCACTACAGTGACCACGGAGAGGACTGGAAACCTTACAGGCAGAGGTCCTCCATGGTGGACAAGGTACAGGGTGGCATCTCGGCACGAAGACAGGAATTAGGAAACTGGGCTGAGGACAGTGCCTCGTGTTTGCAGATGGCTCTCTGCATTTGGCGAACATGCACTGGCTTGACCAGCTCTTTCAGTCCTGTGAATCCTAGCTCTGTGGGTACCTGGCCTTGGGCTGAGGACCGTGCTCACTTGCGGGTACCTGGGACGGGGACCGTGCTCACTACCTGTCTGCTTTGACTGAGCCACCTGTGACATAGTGAGAACAAAACTCCAGGGGATGGTGTGGAGCTTCATTACCTCTGACTGAGAGAGACAGGGCCTGGGCTGCTGTAACAAATTACCATAGACCAGATGACTTAAACACTCATGCACTTTGGGTGCTGGGGTCCCGACCGGGGTGCCAGCAGGATAGGGTTTTGGTAAGAGCCCTCTTGCTGTTGCGTCCTCATCCGGCCCTCCCCATTGAGTGCACGCCAAGAGAGAGCTCCGTGACTCCTCCCTCTTTTTATTGTGTGTGTTAATTCCATTCAGTCTAATCCTAATGACCTCCCAAAGGCCCCATCTCCTCATACCATCCCACGTATTGGATACAAAATATCAAATTTTATTATGGGAATTTGGGGAGGACGCAGACATGCAGTCCGTCACAGGGGTCTGGAATTCCTTCCGGCGTGAAATAGCATCCTATCAGCATTGCCTTGGGCGCTCCAGTTGTTATTCTCAACTGATCAACTATCCATGATGGTAAAACAACCAACCCCTAGGCCGGCTATTTCTTTGGCTTGGTTTGGTTGGTTTCTCACTGTACCAGTTTGGCCTTATAGTGAGATAAGCCTCGCTGTCATAAACTAATAGTGATTTAGCTTCTGCTCTGTGTAAATCTTGGGAAACTTGCTGGGGATGCAAAAGAAAAAAGAAGGAGGGAGGGACACAGTTTAGCCGAAGATACCTGGTATATCGAAAAGGAGAAATATAAGCACATGGTTGCATTTTATTTTAAAGGTTAGTGATAGCTAGCCATTTATTGGTGCCCCTGTCTGGCACTTACCAGGTACTTGTTACATGTTTATATACTTTTTTTTTAATCTTCACACTTTCCATAATGTTGTTATCCCCATTTTGCTACTGAGGAATTGAGAAGCAGAAAATAGAAGTAACTTGCTCAGAGTCACACAGCTACAAAGGGCCTGAGGACAAAGGCAGTTTTGTAGCTGCGCTGTGACCTCACATCAAATGTTCCATTTTCCCCTCATCCAGCTCAGACCCCGGGTGAGGTGGAACCCCTAAAGATGTCCGTCCGCCCGGGGTGTGATTTCATAACTGACCGAGGGTCATCTCTGGGTTCATGTCTTCTGTGTTCTTGGTTGCCCTCGGTGTGAGCAAAAAGAATTTTAGAATTATTCGTAAGATTTTTTTTACACTCGTTATACCATCATTAAGGTTCTCACATTTTTGCTTTCAGATTTTCGAAGGAAATAGTAATTTCAAAGGACATGTGAAGAACTTTTTCAACCCACCGATCATTTCCAGATTTATCCGCATCATCCCAAAAACGTGGAATCAAAGCATCGCACTTCGTCTGGAACTCTTTGGATGCGATATTCACTAGAACTGAATGTTCAAAAGCACAGGAAGGACTCTGAAGGGTATCGAGCCAGTTAGAGTAGGTGTTGCTTTTTTAGTTATGTTAAATTCTCTATTAGAGAATACAATTTTATATATGAAACTTTTATAATGTAACTCCTTGCTGCCTTTAAGGGAGGTGATGGCTATTATTTTTGCATTAACTTAAATATAAGTGGGAAAATATCATGAACCAGTAAGAAAATGGCTTCTCTTTTACAATGATTAATACGCTATATAAAGTAATATTCCTGTAGTGAACACGCTTCGTTACAGTTCTTTCAAACCCTAAACACATTAATAAGAGAGATTTAAAAAATAACAAAAACATTTCTAGCCAGGGTAGCTGTCCCTCCTACATTTTTCTTTCAGACTGTGATTTAAAAGGAAACAAACTGTGATTTAAAAGGAAACAAAAGAGACTCTCAAACGGTTAACTTTCCTCGCCAGTGAAGACAAAAACAGCCTCGTGGTGGGAAATGCTAAGTGCCTAAACTACCCCATCCGAGCTCCGTGGCAATGACCTTCAGCCCCTCCACGGGGGAAAAAACACAAGCACACATATTTCCCGTAGTCCCACCGGCCTTGTGAGCCCAACCGGTCCTGCTTGGGACCAAAGGCGCAGCACCACTGTTCAGCATGAGGGTTCATTAGACACAGGGCAGAATCAAAACAACCAGGGGGGGAACTGGACACAGAGTCTTGGCTTCGTCCCGGCTGACACCAGCTGGCAGGCTGTTGCAAGACATAGGTCACCTCAGGCGAAGCCGACCTCATGAAGCAAGCACTGGGGCTGTCGTCCCAGACACAGCTCTGCCTGCCAGAGGGGCCCCTGGCCAGCTGACTGCTCTGTGGTCACTCTCTTGAAATTCCCCTTCGTAATTTTTAACAGCGAGTCCAACCTTTGCAGTTTGCAATAGGCCCCACAAATCACCTAGCTAGCCCTGGGCCCCTCTCCTGCAGAAATGGGCAGGATCGCCTCTGATCTACTGAGGTATAATAGAAGCAGGAAAATCACTGCCATGGTTCGAGGTAGGGGAATGGACAAGAACGGGGCATGAGCTCCAACTTCAGTATCCAATATGCACAAAAATAAGTTCACAAAGTTTCAACAGCCTGCCTGGGGCTGTCGCTTGCTCCCATCTGAGCTGCAACCAGAAGCAAGGTGATTAGACTCCCAGCCTCTCCTTCCTGTCTGGTTTCTCTTTCATAAAAATGGAAATTACAATGATTATGATTCACCCTCCCCAGACAGGTAGACATGAATATTAATAAGAACTAGTAATTGATCTGAAAATTACTTGTTCGGGGCTCAGTGAACTGTTTGGGTTATAGCAGATCTGTGTAGAAATGAAAACCTCTCTTACTTTGAAATAAAAATACGTATTTGCATTCCTCTGTTCGAAGTCATTTAGATGACAGTACAGCTTCTGCCGTATAGTGCACACTGTCCGCTGACCTGTCAGTTTCCACAGTTTGTTATGTCATAACTGGTTGCTACAGAAAAGAAATGAGTGACTCACAGTAGAATCACGACTTGGAAAAAGAGCTGAACAGATACAATCTGTGTGTTAATCATCCTCATTGAGCACTGGAGACGGACTGTGGGTGAATCACAAATACAAAAATGGTCAGAGGAGAAAACACAAAATTAGTTCTCCCGGATTTTTTCAAGTTGCTAAAAGAAATCACACACTTCAAGACACCTTTTAGAATAACTTTGAACAATCACCGTATTCTGGGTTCAGCACCGTGTGGGCAAATGCAGGGGGAGCGCCCTGAGCAGGTAGCTTGGATCCTCTAAACAAGCACGAAATGTGTCCCACCATCTGCTTCTCTGGATGGACCAAGAAGAAGCAAGTCACTGGCAGTGGAACTTGGCTCAGTAAGTGACCCACAGCCTTAGGCCTAACACACACCTAAACATGTCAGAGTCCTGTGCTGCCATTTCTCCTGTGGGTTTTTTGTTTGTTTGTTTTTCTTACAGAGAGGGATTTCACGAAACACTGTGAATGCCCAATTCTCCCAAGTTGTTACGTGCTGGTGACCGAGAGGCAGGGGACACAGGAGGACACAGGCCCACAAGGACGGGGTGTGGAGACACATGTACACTGCCGACGCCCAGGTAACGGAGTTTTTCGTATGTAGGTACCGCACTGGGGCAGATTCCACAGATTCAGGGTTTGAGCGCTCTCAGGTCTGTGAAGGGTCCTCACTGAAAGATACACGCGTGTTTGCATTTGGCATATGGAAGTAAAACTCAGTAATAGGAACTTCCCTGGATGGACCACCATCTCAGTTTTTAAAAATAGGGGTTAAGCTTATTCTGTCTACATGACGAAGCGCCTTGATGGGCCTCCTAGGGGAGAATCTCCGAAGACGGTACAAGAGGCTGCTCTGCCTCTTCCGACAATCGTCGTCTGGTGGCATAGAGAGGACAAGCCTAGGAAGTAAATGCAGAGTGTGGGTAGACTTCACCCTGAGTATACGTAGTATCAAGTCGTCCAGAGTAGGGACCCACGCAGAGTGGAGTCAGACTGTGGAAGCTCTTGGAGAAGGGGTTTTGACCCAGACCTTGGAGACATTGGGCATAGATGAAGGCAATCTGTGCAGCACCCCAAAGAAGTGGGTTGGGATGAGGGTCAGCGAAGACTTGAGAAGCATAAGAGCTTTACACTTAAATTCAAGCCCCTCTAAGCTTCCCCTGACATACCCACCCACTCTTCCTACCCCTTCAGGACATGGGCTGATACCAGCCTTCCTGCCAACCTCCCTCCACCTCCCACCCTCTGCACACTCTGCACCCATGGACTCAGTGTTTTTGCAAGGTCAAAAGAAATAAGAACAGCAGCTACCTGGCAGGACCTGACAATCTGGGGGCGAGGTAAGAGAAATATACATAAACCAAACATATGCCTGTTCTGCAGACTGCAGAGTGTGGATGGCGGTGGCCAGTTGAGAAGGGGGTCACTGTTGGTAGTGTCATGGCTGCCACTTTGGACAGGGCTCTGACTCACTGTGGACAACAGGACAGGCGTGCTGATCGGGAGGATGGCCGTGGAGTAGGGAGAGCGTGGGGGAAGTTGACTGACTGAGGGACGAGACCATCACGGGAATATCTGGGTAACGGCAAGATTTCAAAGGGCCGCTGAGGTCTATTCCACTTTGCTTTCCCACCAGCCCACGTCTGAGCCACCTCACCTCCAGCTGCCTGTTTGGGCTTTACACTTAGGGACGGCCTTCGGTGTCTCAAGAACGATATACAGATAGATAATTTCATACTCACCTGCTTTTTTTTTTGGCAAGAAATTTGGTAATGGGTTCACCTGTTCTATTCCACCTTGTGGACTAAAGAGGCTTTCTGCAAGTCTGGAATCTGGCAGCCAAGTTTATACTGTGACGGATAACGTGAAGCTTTCATTTTCTGAGTAGTCTTGAGGAAATAGTGGCAAAAGCTGTATTTCTATGTAAAGTGCTTATAATACAGGTATTGATGATTATTAATAGTAACTATTCATGACAATAACAGTATTGAATATGACATACTGTACTATCCATATAATGGTATTAATGATTATAAATGATTGTTATGAATTCCTCCTATGTTGAATACCTTGTTTTACATCACTCATTACTTTTTTAAAAGCATGGTAAAATATACATAACAAAAGTGGCTGAAATGGCGAGTTCTATAAGTTCGCAGTTCCGGGGTATTGAGTATGCTCACACCGTGGTGAAACTATTATTATTTTTTGTAGCTACTCTATTTTCAACCTGTAACTCCTTCCTCTTCCCGGTGGGTGAAGAGTCCAATTCAACTGCATTCCAAGCTTCAGTTCTGAGGACTTTCCCATGGCAGTCAGGCATTAATTATGCAGGCCAAACAAAGAATTCCACAGCTTGAACAGACTCTCTTCAGTGGATTTAACTGGCCTAATTATGCTTTTCTCCAGGGTAGAGACTGTAAGTGTTTTTAGTAGAGATGCAAACACTGAGCCTGAGTCCGCAGTCCTAGAATGTGATTCTGAAATCACTGTCAATTATCCACAGACAAACTGGGTAATTTAAAAACAGAAGTAAGTAGCAATGTACTCCGTGAGAAAGATTCATTGGCTGCCAGTGGGTTTAAGGAGGCTCACAACAGGGAGAGGCACGTAAGCTGTGCCGGCGTCTCAGCTGGAAGCCATGGTCAGCGTTTTAGATGGGGGTGAGGTGTCGGTTCTCAAGTCGATGGTGAAGACAGTACTTTTCTGCAGTGCACCAGACGGGCCTTTAAAAATTAGTGGCTGGTGGTGAGAATGTGGTTTGATATTTGCCAGGTTATTACAAAGAATCTTCTCTGCCCTGCCCTCCGAGCAGCGAATGCTCTAAATCCATGGTTTTCATACTTGTCCAGGTGGCAAAGTAGTTGGAAAGCACCGTGCTCTTAGAGAAAATGAACACAACACAATTTCATGTCTATTTGAACAGATTGATATATTTACTTACCTCTTCTTATTCCCTCAGAAGTTCTGTGGTTGCTTAAAAGAAAACAGAAAATTCGACCTGGTGACACATGTTAGAAGTCGGAGTGAAAGCAATAACAGAGGTAGGGACATAGTCGAAAAGCAAGAAATAGGATGGCGTGAACATGCGCACCAGTAACCAGGTCGCTTTGCTGTGGGTGAACTTGGGTTTAGCAGGAAGTCTTTTTAATAACAAGTGCAAAAAGAAAAGCCTTATTAGTCATACAAGAGCATGTGCCCCCAAAATGTTCAAAAGTAGAACTTTTCTTGATACTGACATTAAAAATAAATTCTTCTGGAAGGCCTACAAAAAGAGGCCACCATGTAACCTGCAGAGTGTCCCTAAGAGCAGCAGACTTCAAGATGCTGTCTCCTGCGCATCATCCCTCAGAGAGGCTGACGGACTCTCACGTAAGCACAGTCCCATGTAAATAAGACTTCAAAGGCCAGTGCTGCGTGGTCCAAGTTCATGGCTCTCTGCTGATCTGGCTTAAGCCAAAGGTAGATTTCACACTCTGTAAAGCAATGGAGTTTTGCTTTGCACAACAGCTCATATTGTAAATATTTTCCCTTTGGCACAATTTTAACACCTTTTCAGTGCCAATGAGCTCAGGATGGTGCACTTCGCAACGTACGACAACTACATTTGTGCAAAGCATCACTCATTACTTTTTTAAAAGCATGGTAAAATATACATAACAAAAGTGGCTGAAATGGCAAGTTTTATAAGTTCGAAGTTCCGGGGTATTGAGTATGCTCACACCGTGGTGAAACTATTATTATTTTTTGTAGCTACTCTATTTTCAACCTGTAACTCCTTCCTCTTCCCGGTGGGTGAAGAGTCCAATGAGGTTCTGCTGTTACACAAGAGTCTATTAAGGACAGATCGTAGTAGAAGCCAAACGTTTCAGAACAATTCATGGGAGGAACATGCAAATTCAGAAAGTTATTTCCATCCACCTCATTTTTTCCTAGAATTGTGGAAAAGAGCACCTTTTCATTTTGGTAGTAGAAGACCTTAATCCAGCTCTCAGAAGAATGCTTATGCTAAACACATCAACATTCATTCACATGTTACATTGTACAGACATAATTCCATTCTCATTTATAATTTAGTTCATTCAGTGAAGATTAATCATTTCAAATAATCATCTTTTCCTGAACATGAATATTCCATGTTTCTGTTAAGTTAAATATTTATTGCTAATCATTAATTTTTTTTAGAAAAAGAAGTTGTTTTTGGTACTGCAGAGAATAGCCCTCGAGGAACTAACAGACTTTCTTACAAATTTCTACTTACTATGGCCTGGTTTGCACAATTACATATGAAGTTCTCCTTCATAGTTCCTTCATATTGTATGGTTTGCTGTTATGTGAACACTCAGTAGAGTGGACTCTAGAGAAATAGTTTGTCCCAGAATTTGAAATCCTTTGGACGATAGCCTGGATTTTGAAGCATAGATCATGTTAGGAGCTCCTGGAACAAGGTGTTTGCTTTCAGAAGGTGGCCTTTGTCAAGACAAAAACTCCGCAAATAAGACGGGGTTTACATTTAACCACATCTTCCCATTCTCCTCTCCGCCACGCACCCCGGTCCCTCATGCTTCACTCACGGCACATTCTCAATACTCACGAGACGCAAGATTTTTTCCCCTCTTTTTTATAGCAAGAGAACTTCTTTTGAAGTATTGCTTTTTATCACCTAGAAGACACATGTGAGCCGTCTTTTAAAGATGCTTAAAGTGCTGGCTTATTTAAACCTAAAACCACACTTTAAAAAAAAAACCACCCTTTCCTACGATGTTCTTCAGTTCCTTTCAAGCTTCATTCGTACAGATGTGGAAGGATGTGAAATTGAATTGCAGGCTTTTCCCCCACTATGCACTTGAGTACAAGCTTTCTGGCTGATTTCCTAAATCCTCATCCCACCCCTTTATTTTTCTCTCTCTGACCTTTGGTTTGCTTCAGCCTTTGACCTATTGAAGATCTGTTAGTAAACATTAACAGCACTTTAGCGTCTCCTGTCTTTGGCCCTCCTCTGCCTTTTTTATTTGCCCTCTTTTCTATTTTCCAGATAACACAGCCTTCTGATCATGTGTCTTTCTCCTCTGTCTCCCTGTGTAAGTTTGGATTCGATTACATTTCACCTCACAGTCACGAGCAACTATCTCTTCAGTCAGTTCATGAAAAGCCAGGCACTGTTCTAGGAACTGAAGGGAACAAGAGAGACAGAATCCCCACTCTGATGGCGTCCACCTGCGTGTTCAAAGACACGAACAATAAACAATCAGAAAAACACACTGGATGGCAGACAATGCCCTGTGGCAAAAATAGATTGGAGGAGGGGACCGGGTGTTT